TGAGTGCCATGAACTCCCGAACATCTCAGGAGGGTGCTCTCCTGCAACCCCCTCTCCCTTATCTTCTCTAGGTTCCTTAGTTGTAGTCCCCCATCGACGAGAGGTGGCCGTTTTGAGGGAGAGGCTAACCTCGRGGGGTGCTGAAGGCAGTCGCCAGGGAAATGGCTCTCCCCATGAAAGTCTGGTCTTAGGTTTCCCCTCCCAACCTTAATCTCTGAACAGTTGGAGTGGTATGGCATCACTATCGGCCAGCTCGTACCTAACGCCCTCCAGACCATCGTGGCTATGATGGTGTGGGCTCAGCTCAGGGGCATGGAGTTGACGTTGAAACTATTCCGTGCCATGTTCGTACTGAGGAAGCACGCTTCCGAGGCCGACATGTACTACATCCACCCGAGGAGAGGGAAGCCAGTGCACAACCCCTCTTCCGCTCACAGGTAGAAGGACAAGTTCTTCTACGTCTCCTACCCCGAGGGTTGGCGCTTCAGGTCCGACTAGGGGAGGCCTGCGTCATCGTCGAGAGATGTCCCCCACCGCTCTGAGACAAAGAGGCTGCAGCAGTGGCTTATCTACTTGTGATGGAGACATTCTAGGCGAAGCCGTTGGTGGAGGAGGAGGTCCCCCTAGTCTTCAYTGGGATTAGCCCAACCTCCCTCGGTAGGAGAGGTTCCGTAGTTAGTGCGTCTTCCACATTCCTTTATTTTTCTCTTTGCTGATGTGCTAACTACTGTCTTTTGTTGTTTCGCAGAAGTGCCAATGGACATCAAGGAGCACTTGTTGGCAAAGGCCCGGGCAAAGCATGCCGGGAAGAAGGCCAGTGGATAGATGCCGAAGAGGCCTAGCAACAAGGTTGCCCCCTACCCCATGGAAAGGGGGGGAGGGATCCGCAAGTACCCGCCAAGGGAAACAAACGGTGGTGGCGTCGAAGAGGACGGAGGAGGCGCYGAAGAAGCCAACCACCGGGGGAGAAGCGCCTAAGAAGCCCACCACTCGGGAAGAGGCACCGAAGAGGCCCGCGGAGGGGCCCGAGGCGGGAAAGAAGAGGCTTGCCGCAGATGCGTCGAGGGAGGAGCCCCCACGGAAGCTTGGCAACATAGATAGGCAGGCCGAGGAGGTGGTGCGGAGGTTCGCACCCGTTTGGTCCATCGTCAGCCCCCCCATCAGTATAGGGCGCCTCCAAGAGGACCGAAGGGGCTGGCAAAACTTTCCGCCCCCAATGGCAGCTCCGAGAGGGGGACTCCATCCGCGACAAGGGGGTTTGCCAGGAGCTGGTCAGCGGGTCCATTCTGCCGAGGGATCGCTACCGCCTTCTGCAAAGCGATCCCAAGGCTATTTACGATGAGGGCTCGTACCACTTGGCCGAGGTAAGATGTTCTTCAATGCTTCACCGTGTGTATGTTCATTTTATTTGTTTTTTTTTTTGTTTTCGCTGATTGGTTCTATGGCAGGCCTATCTACACTTCGTCGGCTTGGGGGACCGAACAAGGCTGGCCATGGGCCGCGTCAACAAGGCCGAGAAGGAGAAGAAGGCCGCAGAGGAGAAGCTCCAAAAAGTAACCACTGCCGCTGAGGAGAAGCACCAGAAGTTCCGCAAGGCACTTCTGGACGACTAATCGCTTTGGGACCGCCTCGAAGTTCAGCTGTAGGAGGCACGGCAAGGACTCTCCAAAGAGCAAATGAAGCGGGTAAGGCTGGAGAGTATCGCCACGGAGATGGAGAGACGGATTGCCGAGGCCGAAAAGAGGGCTGTCGAAGCCCTAAAGAGAGCTGCCGAGGTAGAGGCAAAAGCTGGCGAAGCCCTATCTTCGGCGAAGAAGTCAAAAAAGGCAACGACTAAGGCAGAGGAGACATACAAGAAGTCTTCCAATTACCTGGACACGTTGGTGGATTACGGTTCATCATCTTACCTCGACGGTATAAAGGATACTAAGAAGACACTCCTACTGGTGCTRCCAGATTTTGATGTCGAGGGACTGCAGGTGATCCCCGATGCTCCTGCCGAAGACGCCATTCCTCCTCCTCTGGCCCATGACGAGGCACAGACAGTTCCCCCTTGTCAAACTTTCATGGTCATTATTACTAATTTCTCAAATATATTATATGTATATGTATATGTTGCGATTATTAGCATTGGCATTTATTGTCCCATTTCGGTAAAAGACAACCCTTTGCATCTCATCTACATATATAGAGGAAAGAGGGAGGCCAAGAGTCCTCTCACATCAATGTTCTCATACATGGACTTCATTATCTTCTCATTTCTTATATATGTGGTTATTTATTTTTAAATTAAGTTAAGTTATTAAAAATATAAGATGCCAAAATAAAAYCCTCTCAAATCCTATTTGTTTGCCCTAAAGTATGATATTGTAAGTCTTTAAAATTGTGATAATTACTCTTAGGGGTATATTGGAATTGATTAACTTTTCTTGGTGCTACTATGTGAATATAGAGAATGTTATTCCAAAATCTAAATGTTGAATTATGAAAAATGGAAACTAATCATTTTAACCTTAGATATAGGAAAGCCTATTTAAATATTTATCAAACTAATTAACAACTAATCCAATGAGTACAAAATGGTTAGCAAATGGTGAAACTGATAAAAATTATAAATAATTAAATATTTTTAAAGAATTAGGCATTTGATAATTAAGTAACAATTATGTAATTAATTAGCTAATTAATAATTATGAATTAGTTAAATAATAATAAAACTAAAGAAATAATTAACAAAATAGTAATTATTAAAAAACATTGAATCATTGAGCATTTGATAAATATTTAAGTATTATTTATAAAATTGTTTTATTATTTTAATATTTAATATTATTTATAATATTTTATTATTATTTGAGGTCGAGGTGAGTATTTTGACCCCTGATCAAGGTTCAGGGCGGTTGGGCAGGTTAGGGAAAATCCAAAACTTTGGGGATCGAGGGACGGGGCGGGAATGGTATTTGTTCACCTTGCCCCAACCCAAAACCCACCCCAACTATATTATATAACATAATCTATATATAAAAATGTTAATATATGTTATTTTATATTATACTATAATATATTATATAATATAAAATAGTTCTAGGTAGTTTTCCAAAAAAAAAATTAAATTTGTAAGTCTACGAATAGGAATAACTAGGATAAGGCAAGGCAAATTCAGGATCCCCATTCCCCACAGAAACGGGAATGAGGTTAGGATCAAGATTCAAAGTATCGATACATATCAGCCCGTATCAGCCAGTACGTATTGTGCCGATGACTTCCCGATACACCCCACCAAGGATTGTATTAGGTCAGACCATGGTTTAGAGGATAGTTGGGCCTTAAACCGACCCTTCCAATTCGATTTTGAAAAAAATAAATAAAACTTAAAAAAATACCAATACAGGTGACATGCCCTGTATCGATACTTTGAACCTTGGTTAGGATTTCTAGGCCCACTGGAGTTCGGGACGAGGAATTTGAGTTCGGGGCAGGGACGCCCTGCTCCATTGCCATTCCTATCAATCACGAACCAAACGGATACTTAATTTTTTATTTGTCTTTTTTAATTAATAAAAATAATATTAATTGCAAATTTGCAATTATTCATTTTATCACACACGGCCGTGCTAACGTGTGACATACACGCACGAAGCTGTTATCTCGGCAGTCTCACACGAGCGCCGACCTCATAAATCTACGCGAGGAGCGAAACGTCACCTAAAAATGGTTGGACTCACACGCGTCCAAAGGATTACGTGGCAGTGGGGTTTGTCTCATTGTCTGCTTGTTTCGCTGGGTTGAAGGAAGATGGATTTCGGTCCAGGTTCATTTTCTCATCTATCGTTATATTATATATCATCCTCTTCTGCCATGGTTTCCCTCTCCAAACTCCAAAACTCAGACTTCTCGTCTCAATTTCTTTGTGCAGCTRCGAGCTCGTCATTCGACTGTGCCAGAACTCAGAAGAGATATTCGCATCCACTGCGAGAGAGAGAGAGAGAGATTGCAGGGAGAGAAGAATTCGAAGATGAGCCCGAGAAAAGGAGAGAAGAAGGATGCCTTCCATGTTATTCACAAAGTTCCTTCCGGCGACAGCCTTTATGTTCGAGCTAAGCACGTTCAGGTATTCAGACGATGACCTACTCTGTTTCCTGTTTTTTTCTCTTTACTGAATATCAATTTTCTCAATCGGTTGAATCCATTTTTCGGTCTCAGATAGGGAATAAATTGAAATTTGTGGAGGTTTCGGTTGCAGAAAACCAATTAAATCTTCTGAATTATTTCTTTCTTTTTGTTTTTTATTTCTTGTCTTCTCTTATTTCTTTGTTCGTGGTGTTTTTGGAATTACATTACTCATTCATTTTTTTAGACTTGCATTAATCATTCATACCTTTTCAGCATCATAGATTTACGCAAGAAATTGATTAATACGAGCAAAAATCAGAAGATGAAAATTCGTTTTTGTTCGGCAAATTTCTGCAAAAAAGGAATAGTTTGAGATTCGTCTTCTGAGTGGTTAATCTGGACGGTTCATTATTAGTGGGCGGGAGGCGGGACCATCTAACATGATTCCAAATTTAGGATGATGGAGGGCGGTCTTGATTGTTCTATGCGCATTATTGTGAGAAGTAGAACACACTACTCATAATTCTTAGCAGAAAAAGAAAAAAAAGAACACTACTCATAATTGAAGTTATTATTTATTCGCCAAAAAAGGTTGAAGGTTATATTTCACTTCCCGGTTCTTCTACAATTTTGACGAGTTCTGCATTTTGTGAACCGAGACAACTGACTCGTCTATGGCTCGGTCGGCGAGGTAGCCCAGTTTTCGGATCTTGTTCTTTACTTTACCTTCTTCATTCTTGACTACTTCTCTCGCTTTCCTTCATATGTGCTTTGGCCATCGTTATCCTCCGTTTCTGCATTATATTACGAAAATACCCAGGTAGTTTCTAGAGATGCTGTGTAGTTTGCTGCACACAATATATGAAGACAGTTTATGCACGCCCACCTTCTCCGGGTGAGCTTCGAATCTGTGGGCAGTAATAGTCAGTGAGCTTTCCTTCACTGCTTCATTAGATGATAATATTAACTTTCTGAGAGTAACTTGTTATTTGTACCTTTGTCAATTACTACTATAGGGATCTTGATATGAAACGAAACAAAACAGTACCTTTTCTGCATCTAGACTATCTGTTCGCTGCAAGGACAAGGCATTTGAAAGGTTTAGGTTAAGTTACAGTGAAAGTTGACGTGCTAGATGCGGATCAGGCACCGATTTTGAAGTACCCATTTAACATGCGATCTCGTTTGAAGCTTTAGGGGTCATCTGGGTACAACCCAAATTGCATTTCGTGCTTATTATTTATTCTCAATGTGCAAAGTGCATAGCTGTCCAATATGGAATTTTGACGAAACCCACTTTGTCAATTTCTTATTCTTCTTTGATTTATTTGGATCTCAACGGAGCGTTTCCCTTTTTTTTTTTGTTTTCTAGTCCTTGCCGTCCAAACTGGACTGGGAATGCATTGGTTATCTGTTCTGTAGTAATTGTTTCTTGGGTAAATGTGATTCAGCTAGTTGACAAAGATCCAGAAGCGGCAATTGTTTTGTTCTGGAAGGCTATTAATGCAGGAGATAGAGTAGATAGTGCTCTCAAGGACATGGCAGTGGTGATGAAGCAGCAAGATAGGGCTGAAGAGGCCATCGAAGCTATCAAGTCCTTTAGAGATCGCTGCTCAAAACAAGCACAAGAATCACTAGATAACGTCCTCATAGACTTATATAAGGTATATATGCATCCCCCGAGTTCAAATGAAGCCACGAGGTGGCATTGACAAGTCTTGGAATGTCACTAACATGATAACTATATGTGCAGAAATGCGGGAGAATAGACGAGCAGATTGAACTGCTGAAGCAAAAGCTACGAATGATTTATCTAGGAGAGGCCTTCAATGGCAAACCCACCAAGACAGCTCGCTCCCACGGCAAGAAATTCCAGGTGTCAATCAAGCAAGAGACATCCAGGATACTGGTAATTACTAAGCTCTTTCTTGAATCACCTGCATGTGAAGCTTCCCATCCTACCTATAATTTGGCCAACTTTGGTGAATGTGGGACTGCTGCACGTGGTCTCTGAAGTCGAACTGATCAAATATAGGCAAATGTGCTACACAACAAAGGCTAGCCTTCTCCCTGACGCCAATAGCCAATATCCCTCCAAAGACATGGCCTACCACTTAGCTTGTTCCTCCCTACTGATCATGATTCAGCTCATCTACCAATTTACTACCCGAAAAAAGTGACTGCAACTTTGACCTTTCCTTGACATGAAAAAGTGTGATCTTTCCATCTAGCTAGTTTGGATGCTAATAGTATATATATATGTGTTCTACTCCTGGACCCTTTGAATTGAGACACCCATTGACCCACAGACCGTTCAAGATTGCACCAGTGTTTCTTCTGCAAACAGTCCATATCTTGTTCTTCCAATTTGACTAATCTTATGCTACTGCTACACAGGGCAATCTAGGTTGGGCTTATATGCAGCAAACAAATTATGTGGCAGCTGAGGTGGTGTACACGAAAGCCCAGCTGATAGATCCTGATGCCAACAAAGCCTGTAATTTGAGCCTCTGTTTAATGAAGCAGGGCCAATATGATGAGGCCCGGTCTATCCTAGAAGATGTGCTGCAAGGTAGACTGTGTGGATCCGATGACAGCAAGTCAAGGAACCGTGCAGAGGAACTGCTGCAGCAACTGGAACTGGAAGCACAGCGGTCAGCACCTTTGTTAGACACAACTTTGGGTCGCCGGGTAGAGGAACTGCTGCAAGAACTAGAGTCAGATGGCTATGTCCAAGGGTTAGACAAGTTGATGAACAAGTGGGGTCCATCTAGAGCAAGGAGACTACCCATCTTTGAAGAGATCTCTCCATATAGGGATCAGCTTGCTTGTTGAGTTGAGGCCAGAGGGTGGGTAGAATAGAATATAGAATTTATTTTAGATAGAGGGGGTACTTGTGTAAATATAGGGCATGTGGAGATTACTCTGTGCAATCAGACATGCAGGGTACCCTTTGTTCTTACCACAAGACGAGAAAAAAAAAAAAACCCTAAAAAGTAGAGGCGGATGGTTCTAGTTGGTGCTGGTAATTGTGATTGATTCTATCTTTGCGTAGTATTTCTGGGTCCAGTGATTAAGAAAAGCCAGAAACTGGGCTGAAATAATCGGATACCTAATCCAAGATCCAAGGGGCTTGGTCCCTCTGGTTTACCATTTTTTTAATAAAAAAATATTTAATCCTTGTATTTAGATGATAAGCCAAAAGAATATTACAGAGTGATGAGAGTAGGGTCAGCCACAACCATGAACCATCCAAACTAGTTTATATAATTGGCCATATAATACAAGACCCACAAAGCAAATTAAACTATCAATATCCTTTCTGGTCACTATTGCACAGAAGTTTATATCTACGATCCATCCCAGCAATACTCAACATACTGTAGAGGCATATTCACTAGATGTAACCATATTTGTTATTGACCAGTGACCCCAAATCCCAATTCTGTTTTCACTTTTCAGCTTCATCAGTAGCTTCCCCAGAGATGTGATCAAGGGCTGATGCAAAAATGGCAATCAATTGGCCTTGGCCTTCCACTTGTTGATTATGTACCAGTGTGCAACATCATCCTGCATGCTCTTGCTTCTGGTAGAAAGAAACGCTTTCATTTTAAAATCWTGCTCTTGCTGAGTTAAAATCATAATAGGCATATGATCTCTCACGTCAATGCATTGACATGAGAAATCATATATAAACCTATTCATTCATAGACTTCTAAATCACCCTTCAGCATTTCGATTCCACCATTAAACATCAAGTCCGAATTTACTGCAATTATCCCAAAATCCCACAATCCGTAAGGGGGAATTAGTTTGTGTAATATTATTTATAAAAGGGTTCAACTATGATATGGAAAAGATATGATATCCGAAAACAGCTGTCCAATAAATTGGAAACATAAACGTGGCAGCGAATAAGGTGTTATTTGTCAAAATTCATGGGTGGGTTTTGATTGATCAAAACTCTTTCCATATCATATCTTTTCCGCATCATATAGCAAAAACTTTTAGTGAATATATTCAAACTGTTCTTAAATGAGTTGATTAATCTATATCAAAGTGCCTTTATTCCTAAAAGCAAATTACTGACAATATTTTAATTGTGTATGAAGTGATCAATACGATGAAAAAGAAGAAAGGGAAATATGGAAGGATAACTTACAAAATAGATATGGAAAAAAAACTACGACGTACAAGAATGGAGCTTCCTAAAAGGAGTATTTAAAAAATTTTGTTTTTTATAATAAATGGATAAATGGATCACCTACAAAAGTTTTCAACCCCTCTCTCCCCCTACTTGTGTAGTATGGTTATTGCAGAAAAATGACAGAAAAATACTCCCTTGGTTTTAGGGTTGGTTTTAGGGTATCTATAAGTGAACCCTTTATCCCACTTCTTCAATTTGCAGGCAATTCTCTTATTTTTGTTAAAACTAACTTAGATAGTGTAAATAAGACTAAAGAAACTGTTGAGAGTTATATTGTATTTGGTTGTATTTGGGTATATTTATAATATTTGTAATATTGTGGGGACCTATATGTATTTGTGGGAGAAAAGGGGCTTTTGTGTAATCCTAATGTATTTTAGTCTTGTGCTTATTTAAGCAAGTGGTTATGTGAGATTAGGGTTTGAGGAAGAGTGAATGGGGAAGAGAGTAAGAGTTGTGTGTGTGTGTGTGTGTATGAGAGAGAGAGAGAGAGAGAGAGTTGTATATTTGGTTCTCATAGTGGATATGTTTCCTCTCCTCCTGTGGATGTAGGCTACAAAGTCGAACTACATTAAACCTTGGTGTTCCTTTATTTCTTCTTGTTTTGGGTTGCTATTCTATTTTATGTTGGTTGGCGTGGAATCAGATCTATTTTATGTTGTTTAACATGGTAACAAAGCAAGTGTTTTGGTTGCTGTGAAGGTGTTTCAGTTGTTGCGAAGGTGTTCCAGTTTCCGTGAAGCTGTTCTAGTTGTTGTGAAAGTGTTTCAGTTGTTGTGAAGGTGTTCCATTGATGCAGTAGTCAACTATTGCAAAATCTTTTTGTGTATTAGTTGACTACTAAGAACAAGATATTGATAGTAGTCAACTACTACAAAAATCTTTCTGTGTAGTAGTTGACTACTAAGAACAGGATACTAATAGTAATCGACTACTATGAAATCTCTTCGTATAGTAGTTGATTAATAGCCTCAAGATGTATTTCTGAATTGGTGTTGGTTTTGTGAGTTGAAAAAGGTTCTTTGATGTCATAAGTTGTAGTTGTTTATGAGTTGGTTGAAAAAGGGGTTTTGAAGCCTCAAGTTGTGATTGTTTGGTGGTTGGTTGGAAAAGAAGCTGCAATGCCTCAAGTTGTAGTTGTTTTGTGAGTTGAAAAAAGGGTTTTGATGCCTCAAGTTATAGTTGCTCGGTGGTTGGATGGAAAAGAGGTTGTGATGCCTCAAGTTGTGGTTGTTTGGTAGTTGGTTGGAAAATAGGTTGTGGTGCTTCAAGTTGTAGTTATTTGTGAGTTGAAAAGGGGGTTTTGATGCCTCAAGTTATGGTTGGTTAGAAAAGAAGCTTTGATGCCTCGAGTTGTGATTGTTTGTGAGTTGAAAAATGGGTTTGATGCCTCAAGTTGTGGTTGGTTGTAATTTTGTGAATTGGAAAAGAGATCGCGACGCCTCAAGTTGTGGTTATTTGTTGGTGGTGATTTTGTGAGTTAAAAAAAGAGGTTGTGATGCTTCAAGTTGTGATTGTTTGTTGGTGGTAATTTTGTGAGTTGGAAAAGAGGCTATGATACCTCAAGTTGTGGATGTTTGTGAGTTGGTAATAATTTGTGGTGTTGTAATAACTTTGTTTGTGAACATGCGAAGCTCCCTTAGTGTATTGGTGAACTGTTGCTTTAGAGGTTATGATCCCTCCCATGATCCATTTAGAGAAATCTAGAAGAGAATGCACCAAGTATGTTGTAGGGGGCACCAAAGTGGGGTCTTCCACTCCTAATCTCAATTCAAATTTGATGGTTTATTGGATGCAGCTGGTGAGTTGAGAGATAAAATAAATTTCGATGCATCCAAAAGAGCTAATGGGAAGTGTGCAGTATGAGTAATTGCTATGGATGGCATAGGTAGAGTCTAATGTGTTGCATGTAAAGACATTGATGTCTGCTCAGTTAATGAAGTTGAAGCCTAGGCAGCGCTCAAAGCCCACCATATCACTTTAAAGTTTCACTATTCAAGAATCATCATTGAGGAAGACTTGAGTGTGGCTATCAACGGTCTTCATGGTAGAGATGAACTTCTGTAGAACATAAGGACATTAATTCAAGAATGCTATGAGGAGTCTAGGCAGAACAAATTCACTCTGTCGTACAATCACGCCCTTTGTGAAGCTAATTTTTCTATAGACTGGTTATCTAATTTAGGTCATGCTCTAATTAAATGTATCCAAGCCATTTTTGGTAGATAATAGACTTAGTTATATTTGTTTTTTTTAATGAGTAGAGTCATTTCACCCCTCTCTACACTTGCTTTTGATTTGTACTTTTCTAACCTACAATTATAACACCAATTGGTCATCTTTTACTAGCTAGCTTGTTGAAAGCTACATATCAAGTGTACCATCTACCATGGAGAGATATTCAAATTTTGCATAATTGCACTCTAAGGGTTCATTTGTTTTTTGGATTTTGAGAGGGGAAAAGTCAATCAATGGGGATCAAAATCCCATTGACCAAGACACCCATGTTCTATTTTCAAATTTATGTGGGGTACATGGGAAATTCATTTTCCCTATGTATCACTTATCCATCTCCTAGGTGGGTAAGTAACTTTCCCACTTGAGAGGAAAGCTTCCAACACTTGGATGAGATAAAATTTCCCATTTTAACAATGGCCTTTTATAGCTAAAATGGTTATTGTCTCATTTACCTAGGAAATAAAAGAACATAGGTAAATGAACAAGACCTAAGAATCAATCTCCAAGTTAAACAAAATTGCTTAGCTATTGGGCATCTAGAAACATACATTCATGTTTATCTTCTAGTGTTTGATTACCAACCAAAATGAAGTCCATCATGCCTTAAGGGCTTTCAACAATAAGAGTTGAACCAGGTGAGGAACTTTTAGTGTMTATGAAGTCCCCTAAATTCCTCCATTTCAATAAGTGCCCATTGTTTTATATTTGATCAATAATTGAAAAGCTTGGATTTAGTTCAATCTAAGCCCCAAACTCAATTCACTCATTAAGGGCTCTCTAGTTTTTACATTTCTTCCAAGTTTATTTMTCGCTGTGACATTATCATGTTTTGACCTAAACAAAACCTATATTGTATGTAGGGGTGTAAACGGATTGAATTTGAATCCGATTAAATATTCGAATATTCGATTTGATTCAAATTCGACTAATTAATTATTTTAGGTAATTAATAAATATATAAAATAAATATTTTATTTATATAAGTATATAAATATATAAATTATTTATATAATTTGATTATTATATATATAAATTATATAAGACATTTAAATATTTTATATATTATATATAAGAATTAAATAATCGGTCGAATTTGGATATTTATCGAATCGAATCAGGTCATATCCGAATTTGAATCCAATTAACTATTTGGTATGAATAGGATATCCGAATTTTGACTGATTAGATATTTAAATTATCCGAATTTAATTCGATTATGTCAAATATCAAATTCAAAATCAGATTTTCGAATACCGTTGACACCTCTAATTGAATGGACTTGGTAGTCAAGCAAATTTTCTAAGAATACGTTAGCTTGAGTATATTTTAAGGGATAGATTGGTTGCAAAAAATTCTAGTCATAACATTTCCTAGGACCCAACAATTAAATCCTGCATATAATTTTCCAAGAATTGGACTAAATCCCCACTAGATTTTATTTCTAATCGACGTAGTTGACCTAAATTGGGTTTTACTTCTTATCATTTCTTTCTAGCAATTTGAAGGCTTCAAAGCCCCTTGACAATAGGAAAACCTTCAAAAGTCATCATCAGAGTGCAATAAAATCTCATATTCATAAGAACAATGAAAGGAAAACATTATCTCATTCTTATCGATTTCCAAAATTAGGTTTTTCGTTCCTTCATTTTCACATTAGCTCCAAAAYAGAGAGAGAGACTCTCATGGGAAAATTTTGTTTTATAACTTTATTCTACACATTTGCAATTTCCATATGAAATCCATTCATTGAATTAATAACTTAATATATTCATGACCAAGTTCAACTCATAACTCCTACTTGGCTTTGAATTTCTCCACTCCTCATGAGTTTCTCCGCTCTCCCATGAGACCTTTCTAGCTTCCATTTGG